GGTGCCTGGAGCAGCTCCTGCCCCTCCTCCTGGCCTGAGCTTGGTGTCTGCAGAGTTGTTCTCTCACGTGTTCTCACCCCACTCCTCTCTGGCCACAGTAACAACTGCCAGCGACTGGCAACAATTTTATTTTCTTCTTAAATTTGTTATCCCAGAGATGTCACAATCATTCCTGATGGGCTTGGCCGTGGGGTCTGTCCTGGAGCTGGCTGGTGTTGGCTCTGCTGGACATGGGGCAAGCTCCTGGCAGCTCCTCACAGAAGTCACCCTGGTAGCTCCCCCCATTATTAAACCTGGCCATGCAAACCCAACAGACCCATTCCAACCACAGGTGAGAAAAAAGAAGCTCGTGGGCAGCCACGTGCACCCTCAGGACACCCAGGAACGATGTGACACGGGATGGGGACAGCACAGAGCCACCCAGCCCCACTCTCCATCCCAGGGACAGCCCCACTACATCCATGCTACCCCACCCATATCCCTCCCCATCCCGGTGGAAATGCAGATGTTTTCCAGCACCACCCCACCCCCTGCACGGATGCAGCCAGGCTGGGGAGGGAGATGAAGCTGAGCCAGCTGCCACAGAGGAGACGCCCTCGACAAATTGTCTGCACGTTGTGAAATGCACCTGCAGCAGGTTCCTGGCCGACAGGTGTGGCAGGACTGGTCCTGCAGAGATGGCACAGGCACAGGTTTGGCTCTGTCACCACAGGTTCTCCCACCAGCCCAGAAACCAAGTTCTTCTTCTCCTGGACCACAACTGCTGCATGCCTGGGGGACAGGGAGGCTGAGGGGTGTGTGTGCAGGACAGGAGACGGAACAGTGCCTTTCTGGAGTGAGCACAAGGCTGCTCCCAACCATCCTGGGGTGCCTAAAATCTCAGTGCCCCATAGACTGCCTGAAAGGAGACTCCAAGAGCTATCTCAAAGCAGAAAAGTCTCAAATCTATTAATTTTCCATCATAAGTTTTCTGCAATCCATCCATGATAGAGGCATCACCTCCCATTCCTGGCCACTGCTGAGGCACCTCTGCACTTCAGAACGACAATGACAATGCAAAATCCAGCAAGCCAAGAGTGACCATGGCACAGCTCAAGGCAGACGTGAAAGAAACAAAACCTCTCATTTCAGCAGGGAAGCTTAAACGCACCAAAGTTTTAAGAACATCCAATGTTGCTCCCATTTCAGTCTGAACTGAGGGGGGAACACGCTTCTCTCAGGATCACCAGCAAGACATCTACGTTGTAAGTGAATATATATACACATATGCAAGAATGTATGTAAATAAATAAAAATAAAATAGCCAGAGTCTCAAACAAACAGAAGATGACTGGTTGGCTACAGTAGCCCTTCATTTCAGAGGACACAGTAATCTGCTAATTGTCCTCAAGTGGCAGAACTGCCCCTTCTCCCAGGAGTTTCACAACATCCCGAGGCATTTATGGAGATTACTCAAGCAGAAGCCTCAACACTTCCAATCTCCTCTTGTCCTTTCCCCAACCTGATCATAGCCCAAACAGAGCAGCAAACTGTTAGCTCTGAAACTTAACAATAGCGTAACATAAATGTCTTAACACTTCTGCCAAAGTGAAAAACAGTGAAATCATTCATGATATTTAATTACTCCATCAGAACATAAAGGAAGAATGTTGAATGTGTCTCAAACAGCTCTTGAAAAAGCTGCCCCAGCATCCACAGAAAACACAGGGTCCTGCTACACTTTTAGCCTCACTCCTCACAAACACAGGACCCCAAAGGCTCAACTGAGCAGCAAGAACATGACATTAAATTAGGTTCAGAAGGGTTTTCTTGTTGCTTTGCAGAGACCTGTGGGCAAAATCTCAATCAGTGACAACTACCACAATTTCAGACCCTTCCTGCTGGGGAAAAACCAAGCAGGAGCAACGATGGCTGCAAGGAGAAATGGGAGAGAGCCACACACAAATTGGTTAAGAAGGGGAAAGTCAATACAGCACAATTTGTCCTCACCAGGAGATCACAGCAGAATGAACTCAATCACCCAGTTCACCTCAACATGAGGTACTCCAGAGGGAAAAAAGAGTATTGTTATCCTCATTCAAAATCAAGTGCTGAAGAAGAGACTTCTGGAGATAAAGCCCAACATCCCACCATCTTCCCTTCCACAGTCTGGATGCAGGGCTAACATCCATCAAGCATGCTTCCATGCTTTGCATTCCATTTTTCATGGCTTTTAAGAACCCTCCAGAGACCATTCCCATGCCATTTGTGGATCAGGCTGGAACAAACCCAGCCAAGCCCCTCAGGTAGATCAGCCCTCTTCCAAATGGCATCACAAAGGCAGAGCTGGAGTTCAGCTCATCTCCACAAATTCTCTCCAGTCTTTCATCCAGCCAGATAACCTGAGACAAACTGCTTCCCTGCATCACCTTCACCTGCAGCAGCACCCAACTGCAGCTCCTCTGCTTTAAAAGCAACCTGAGGTCTTATAAATGATGTAAAAAAGAGCACAGCCTGAGCTTCCCAAAACAGCCACTGCTCGTCTGTGCCAAAGATAACACGCTCAGTGCAGGGCAACCACAGCCTACAAATCTTCCCCAAGGCTTGAGGGGATAAAATGCAGCAGCACAAGGTTATGCTCTTGAACCTTGGGCTCAGCAATGGCAGAGAAAAGCCTTTATGACACTCACAGGGAAAAATAACGTTGGTGGACACAACAGAATGGCTGTTTCCACTCCCTGGAGACAAGGTGTGAATATGTGCTAGTCAAGGTCACGTAAATCATCAGCAGAGTAGGAGGGTTCCTCCTCCATCCTGTGTGGGACCCCGCAGCACAATGTGGATGCTCAGATGATGGTCCACCATCAAAAAGCCTTCCTAGGTTTTGTAGAGAAGGGACTATGAAATGATCTGCTCTTATTTTGGCATCTTTGCACTGAAAGACGCAGCCTGGAAGCCCAATCTCTCTTCTGCATCCTCCCATCTCTTCAATTTCTGTTAATGAAGCTGTGATTTTAACCTTCATCCCACACCCACCTGAGTGGTAGAGGAAGAGCAGGGTGGATTACTGGAGAAGGAATGAATGTGGCACCCATGGGCACGTGGAAATGCCCATTTGAGGGAAGCACACAGGTTCTGGGGCACTGAGAAACAGCACCTGCCCCTTTCCAACCTAATGGCATTGCTGCTCCATCCACCGTGGGATCTCACGGATAAGAATCTCACCCTTTCCAGAGAAGCCTGACCCAGGGAATGGCCCCGGGAGGTGAACCTTGGTCTCATTCTATGGAAAAACCACTCCAAGGACAGGGTTTTGAGGCACGGGGAGGCCAGTGACACCCAACAACTGTGCCCCCAGCGTCCAGCATTTCTGGGGGCAGCTGCAGCAAAAAACATCCCACGGCTGCCGGCTGCTCCGCTGCCACAGCATCTGTTGTCCCCTCCTGTCACCCACCACGGCCCCCGAGAGCACGTGCGGCCAGAGTGACTCTGCAGGAAAACGATCACCGTAAAACGACAACAAAACCGGGTCTCTGCCGAGCCCTCCGAGCCCGCTACACCCGCACCCAGCCCGGGGGCCGCTCCTGCGGCGGGGTGGGAGCCGCTCCCAGCCGGGATCATCCCAGGGGAGCGGCGGGGATGCTCGGCGGGCACCTTTGTGCGGCGGTGCCGCTGTGCGGGCTCTGCCGCCGGCTCTGCCGCCGCGGGGCCGCCGATGGCCGCGGCTGCTGCGGCGGGGACACGACGGGCTCCCCGCGCTGCTGCCCACGGGGGGCTCGCCCGGGGCGGGGCTGGGGGGCAGCCCTGCCCTTCTCCGGCCGAACGGAGCGCCCGGGAAGCTTCCAGAGGCGGGGAGCACAACCGAGCCCAGCCCCGGAGCTCTCCGCCGGGAGCGCCGCGTTCCGGGGGGGCCCCACGGCCACGCACGGGCTGTCACCGAGCGGGGGGCACCCCCCCGGGGCGAGGCCGCCGCGACACCGCCAGCACCGAGACGTGCCCAGAAACCGGCTCCATCGGCGGCACGACCCGTACCCCCCCGCGGGGTTCGCGTCTTTCCGAGGGAGACAAAAGCCGGGATGCGCTCCCCCCGCCGCCCCCCTTCGCTCCCCCTCGGCCGGTGCTGTGTCCCGTCCCCCCCGGGCCGCGCTTACCGTGCGGGGCCGGGCGCGGTCAGTGCCCCGCTGAGGGGGTCATGGGCGCGGCGCGGGGTTGCGGGGGTCGCGGGGGGCTCCGGGGGCGCCGCCCGGGAGGACGCTCCGGCTCCGGCTCCGGCTCGGCAGAGGGACGGGCCGGGGCGGCGGGCAGTGACGCGCCGCGCTCCGCCCGCGGCCCGCGCCGGCCCTGACGGGAGATGTAGTCCGGGGCTGCGGCCTGCCCGCCGCGGGGGGGCCGCACGGCGGGGATCGGACGGGGACACCCCGAGTGCCGCAGCCCCGAGCCTCTGATGGGAACCTCCCCGACCCCGCAACCTCGGGATCCGGCAGGGACCCCCGGACCCTCCCACGCCGGGGATCTGACAGGGACCTCCCGCCTCTTGCACCGCCGGGGCTCCGAGGGAGACTCCCCCATCCCGCAAGCCGGGCTTTGACAGGAACCGCCCGGACTCCGCAATCCCGAAAAGTTGCAGGGATCTAGGAGTCCCGCACCCCGGGGATCTGACAGGGACTCCCTCGATCCCGGACTCCTGAGTCTGACAGGGAGCCCCCCCGCACCCCTCACCCCGCGGGGATCGGGTGGTCCCGCACCCCGGGCCCTCACAGAGATTCCCGCATCCACCCCTTCGGGGCCTGACAGGGACCTCCGGATCCCACAATCCCGGGATGTGACCAGAGACCCCCGTGTCCTGCACGCCGGGGATCTGGCAGGGAACCCCCAGATGCCCGAACCCTGGGACCCTCAGCCAGCGAGTCCCCAACCCTGCGGGGCTGGTGAGAGACCAGCCGGGCTCAGAGCAGCCTTTGGGGCGGTGTTAACCCACCCAAGACAGCGCCAGGGGCAAACACCGACTCGCGTGTCCTCACCTGCATCCATCGGGGTTCAGTTCAGAGCTGCAATCATCTCCTCACGACAAAGCAGCATCCAGCTGGGCTTCAAGGAGATGGGGGTTAAACTGGGCTGAAGAGAAAGAGACTGCAAGGGTTTCACAGAATTACAGAATGCTGTGGGTGGGAAGGACCTTAAGATCATCCAGTCCCACCCCCTGCTATGGGCAGGGACACCTTTCACTGTCCCAGGCTGCTCCAAGCCCCATCCAGCCTGGCCTGGGACACTGCCAGGGATCCAGGGGCAGCCACAGCTGCTCTGGGCACCCTGGGCCAGGGCCTGCCCACCCTCCCAGCCAGCAATTCCTCATTCCCAATGTGCCAAAATCTGTCCCTGCCCTCTGGCCCTGGGAGCCATTGCCTGGCTGCTGTCCCTGCCTGCCTTGTCCCCAGGGGCTGTGCAGCTCTCCTGGAGCCCCTGCAGGCCCTGGCAGGGGCTCTCAGGTGTCCCTGGAGCTTCTCTGGTGCAGCTGAGCAGCCCCAGCTGTGCCAGGCTGGCTCCAGAGCTGAGGGGCTCCAGCCCTGGCAGCATCTCCGTGGCCTCCTCTGCACTGGCTGCAGCAGCTCCAGCTCCTTGTGCTGCTGGAGCCAGGGCTGGGGCAGCTCTGCAGGTGGGCTCTCACCTGAGCCCAGGGGCACAGGGGCAGGATCCCCCTGCCCTGCTGCCCACACTGGGGCTCACCCAAGGCAAGGGGGTCAAGCCGGGACAAGCCCAACCCCCAACCAAAACAACCCCAACCCCCTTCTCCCAGGGCTGCTCCCTCAATCCATTCTCCAGCCAGTCTGTGTTTATGCCTGGGATTACTCTAACCGTCATGGAGGACCTTGCGTTTGGCCATGTTGAATTTCATGAGGTTTGCATGGGCCCATTTCTCAAGCTTGCCAAAGTCCTTGTGCATGGCAGATAATCCAAGTGTTTCTATATAAACACAAAAAATTCTGGGACAAGAAATGTGAAAACCAGAATTTAAGCACCATTTAAACGTCTCTCTAGTCCAGTGGATCCCTTCAACCCAGGTGCTCAAAGCCACTCAGAAATGTTCCTACAAGCAATTTAAATCACTTTCTGCTTACCACACCAGGCTCTCGAAAAGACTCACCCAACAATCATTCCCCTTTTCTTGTGGTCTGGGTTGTATTCAAGAGGTTAACTATTTCTAACCATGGATTCTTTGTTGCTCCCTGTCTGGTTCTACCGTCACACTCCTCTGGATAAATGGATCACCTTAACGAACATCAACACAAGGACTGCATCCATAAATTCACCAGAATTGCTGGCCTCTGAAGAAACCTTAATTCTACTTTGACAGCAAAATCGGATTCCAAAGATCTCTCTCCCTGCTGTGCTTTATTTTGGGCCTTATCGTTTGCTGGGCAGGTTGTCATGACAACCTGATATTCACCGGAGGGTGGCTGTAATTGGGAGAGCACATTGTTAATTTAGCTCCAGATTCTTTTTATTTTGTTGTATTTTAAGCAAAGGGGGACTGCCTAGATTTTCATATTTTTATCTATGATCATACTATGGTTTAATTATTAATCTGAGTGCCAATAGCATCTCTCCAGTGACGGCTGAGCTGCAGAGCTCACCAGGGCAGAAAACGGCTCTGCCCACATCCTTTTTTCCCAGCTCATCTCCTCACACAGCCTGCCCACATTCCCCTGCAGCCCTCAAGCCCCTAAACCAAGAGTCCCCAGGCCCAGGATTTCACAGGGATGCTCCTGCTGTAGAGGGGAGAAAAAAAAAAGTGTGACCTATTCTTGTGTTAATGCTATTTTTTTGGAATTCCAGTGTCAGCTTTAACCTGAAAACAATTCCTCTCAGATAGTTATTTAGAGCAACTCGCTCTCTGCAGAGAACACCAGCCCATAATATTAACATGTGAACATGCTGGCATGTGGAAATCCAGCTCCTGGATGGGAACAGCAGATCCTGGCTCCACATGCTGGGACCTCTTTGTGCACCCCACAGCAGGTTCTGACCCCAAATACTGGGACATCTTCTTGCACCCCATAGCAGATCCTGGCCCACATGCTGGGACATCTTCTTGCACCCCACTCCTGCCCCAACAGGCTTAGGGACATCACAAAATGTCACAGAATGCCACCAAGCATCCATCGCCTGAATCCTTGCTGGAAGCTGGGAGGTGTCAGGACTGGCGACTCTGGATCAGGAACTCTGGATCAGGACACACGACTTCCAGCCTGAGATTCTTGGGAAATGACCCATCCTGCAGGGCACAGTGTGTGTAGGAGTGTGAGAAGGAGCTGGGTTTGTTTTCCCAGGGGATGTGGGGGATGTGGAGAGGTGACACCACGGTGGCAGCAGGGTGGCAGCAGGGTGGATAAAGGCAAGCCCACAGCGGGGTGGGTGCCAGACTCCGGAGCAGTGCCGCGTCTGTCGCGCTCCCACCTCGCGTGGGCTGGAGGCTCCCTGGCCACGCTGCTCATGGCGTTCATCATCCACGTGTCCCAGCAGGAAGAAGGGGCAGCTTTCCGGTGACTGAGGACTTTTCTCCAGGAGCTGGCGCAGCTCCAGGTCCAAAGAGCAAAGTGGAGCTGCCGAGCCCGTCCCCATGCGGGAGCAGCCCTGCTCCCCTCAGCCCCTCTGAGCTGCTCATCCTGACCTCCTCCTTTCATCCCTGCTTCTGGATTAATCCTGTCACAGCCCAGGAAGAAGTTGGGAAAGGAAGAGGATTTCTGCTTAAAAGGAAAAAGAAAGGAGAGGAGTTGTAAAAGCTGGGGATGGAGGAGGGAATAGAAACATCCTTCTTTCAAGGAAAAGATGCTGTGGCTGCTGTTCTGGGTACCATATGCCAGGTAATAACACGAGATGACTCAGTGTTTGGGAAATTAAATTGGCTCTTTATTAAAAGCATGCATTTAGGGAGGTAGTGAGGTGTCAGGGGAGTCCCTGCATTGCCTTAGCAGAGGGAATTCAGGCAGGCTGTCTCACTCCTTACGCTGCCGAGCTCGGAGTTCACAAGGTGCTGGGACACAAATCCAGCCTCAGCATCCTCTCAGGGCTGCTCCCAGGGAAGCACTGAGCATCTCTGGGAAGATGTTAGGAGCCCGTCTGAAGCTCTCTCCTACCTCATTCAGTGGAAGCTGTTGGGTCTCTGCCAGTGGGAAGCGCTCCAGCCTCAAGACTTTTGTCCCAGGAAAATAGCAAGAGGCGGAAAGAGCAGCTGGGGACACGAAGGATTTTGAGAGCACAAGCTGCAACTCAAAAAATGCTGTGCCAAACTCTAGTCTTGCCCTGGCAATAGCCTTTAAAATGTCTTAGCAATGGTGGGAATCTGCTGATTCCAAGGGGAAATACAGAATATTGACAAAGTACCTTGCTCGTAGCTGGGTTGTGCTGGTTGCTTGGTGCCCCTTCTCTAGCTCGGAGCAAGTCTTGGCCTCACAGAAAGTAGCTGAAGGCAAAATTCAATGTACTGTTTTCTGCTCAAATCATACCTCCTCTCTGTGGAATTCTCATTTTTACATACAGACAGGTACCGAAAAATTAAGCTAAAGATGAGAATTAATTTCTTTTTCCCCAAGTCCTGCCAGCACAGGTGGGATGACAGAGGTGTCTGCCAGGATGGAGGCACAGTGATGAACTCAGTGGGTTTCTAAGAAGTGGCTGTGGCCATTAAGTGCTCAGATGCTCCCTCAGAGACTTCTGCAGGAAAATAAACACTTAAAATAGTTGGCCAACAATCTTCCTGCCAGAATTAGACTGATCCTTATTATGGTCGGGCTGCAGTTGAATTGAAAGCAAATAGACGTCCTTTAAAAACACAAATAATGGACCCAGTGTAGGAGCAGAGGACTGGAGACAGACGAGGTCTTTATTCCCATTCTGACAGAGCCTGAGTGAGCAGCTCTGCCCTCCTTCCCAAGCATCTGTCCCCCTTCCCAAGGGAGATGTCTGTCTGTGCCTGGGGTCAGGGATATTGGATGTGGAGTTCCAGCAGTTCCTGCTGCATCCAAACCTCAAGGTGTGAGGCAGCCTGGCTGAAAAACTGGAGAGAAAACAGAGGTGATGGGGTGTGAATGTGGCCAGGCAGGGTGTTCATGACAAAAGAGACAGCACTGGCCTGTCAGTACTCTCTCCTGTAAAAAAAAAAAATTAAAAAATTTATATGTACATATATATCTATATATACATATATATAGATCAACATATATATATATAGATATATTCTATATTTACATTTCAGAGCAGGGTACCCACGGGTGAAGCAATGCTTGGCTGTGGTGGGAGGGGAAGCTGGTGGAGCTGGTGTTGAAATGCTGAATGTGGGGACAGGCTCCTTCCCCCACTTACCAGTTATTTTTAGAGGGGCATTTTTATCCAGCACAGCCATGGGTGCCAAGGCTGTTTGCAAGTCAAGGCTAAATTCACTGTTATTTGGAGGAGGTCTGGGTTCCCGGAGATCAGGGTTTGTGAGCACTGATTTGCTTCAGAAATGTTGAAATCCTGCCCTGATGCTGCTTTCCCCACAGGTGAAAAGCTGCAACTCAGAACAGCTGGATTTTCTCCTTGACCTCCCATGTAGCTTAAAATAATAGCCTTAATTTCCCATATTTCACATAATTCTCTTGAATAATGAGACTACCTGGACATAATTAATTACTTTCCTCCACTGATTTAATTCACAGCTACATCGTTGGATTTAAGAGGCCTTGGAAATACAAAGTATGATTATCCAGGTAAGAACAAATTACCAATTTAAAGGATCACCGTGGTTCTAGCCCCGAGGATTTGCAAAGGTCAGGCTGCTGAGGAGGCTGAGCTGAGAGCTGGCAGAGCAGGGACCTGGGGTGGTGATGAAGGATGTCCTTCCACACCAGGCGGGATGGATCCTGTCAGACACCTCCACAGGGTGACAGAAAACATCTCTGACAGGGACATTAATAACTCCAGTTGTGCTGGAGTTAGAATTAAACATTGACAAGTGTGTTTGGCAGAGGCATGGCTGGCCAGAAAATATTACAGTAACCCAGAAATCTCTCTCTTCCTCTGGTTGTAAATGGGATTTTTTTCCATAATCCCTTACTGTGGATATTAATTGCATTGAAGGATTGTGAT